GGACTTGAGCCAAGGTCTTGTAACTCTGGAAGCCCCGGGGATTCCCCACAGCCCTGGCTAGCAGCTGCTCAGAGCCCCACAGTTTGAGATGGACTTTGACCAATCAGAAGGTGATCAGAGGGTGATGACAACCTCAGGTCTGGGAACCAGGTCATGTGAGGATTAGGTAAAGAGCTGGAGATAGTTGGCCTTGAACAGAAGAGACTCCAGGCTCACAGCCTAGGGCCTCAGATCTCTGCAGGGTTGTTCTGGGACAGGAAGATGAGACATTTTTATGAGGATTGAGAGAACAGAGATGAGATCAGTGAGGAAAGCCGCAGGGAGACGGATGTGGAGTTAATAAAGGTAGAAATTATTTAGAGTATACCTGAAATACTCTTGCAAAAAGCAGCTTCATCACTCTGGGCCATATTTCACTCACAAATTTGTAATCCTTGGGTTTTTTTTTTTTTTTTTTTTTTGCTTTGATTTGTTTTTTAAAAAAGCACCTCTATCCATGGAAGGTAATCAGGAAAAGGCTAAATATGGGATTCCGCTAAGGGGATTCTTGTATTGAAGAGAAGGTTGAAATGGAAATCGTGGTACCAGTTGGAACGCCTTAAAATGAAAGCTTAAATAGCAAAGAATCTCAAGGAATCTATAAAACATGCACAAAATAACGTGTTAGAACTAAGTGTGTTTAGTAAGGTCACAGTAAGGTCAAAACCAAACATCAATTGTATTTGTATATACTAGAAACAAAAGATTAGAAACCAAAAATAAAAACACAATAATACCATTTATAGTTACTCCAAAATAAATGAAATACTTAAGTAAAATTTAACAAAACATGTACAGGGTGTGTATATTAAAAAATACAAAATCCCAGCACTTTGGGAGGCCAAGACTGGAGAATCCCTTGAGCCCAGGAGTTCAAGACCATTCTGAGCAACATGATGAGACTCCTGTCTCTAAAAAAACAAAAAACAAAAATTAGCAGGGCATGGTGGTGTGTGCCTGTAGTCCTGGCTACTTGAGAGGCTGAGATGGGAGGATTGAGCCCAGGAGGCAGAGGTTGCAGTGGGTCAAGATCACACCACTGCACTCCAGCCTGGGTGACAGAGCAAGAATCTGTCTCAAAAAAAAAAAAATCCTACAAAATACTTAGCTGGGCATGATGGCATGTGGCTGAGGTGGGAGGATCCCTTGAGCCCAAGAGTTCAAAGCTCACTTGTAAGCTGTGATCTTGCCACTGTACTCCAACCTGGGTGACCAACGGAGACCCCTGTCTCTAAAAATAACCAACCAAACAAAAAAAACTACAAAATGCTGATGAAGGAAATCAAAGACCTAAAACGGAGAGATACACTATGTTCGCAAATTGGAAAACTCAACATAGTAAACATAAAAATTGCAACCCTTCCCCACTTTTTTTTGAGACAGGGTCTTGCTCTGTTACCCAGGCTGGAGTATAGTGGCACAATCTAGCCTCAACTTCCTGGGCTCAAGTGACCCTCCCACCTCAGCCTCCCAAGGAGCTCAATGGAAAAGAATTCACAGGAAAATAAACAGAAAAGTAGGCCAGTTGTATTTTCTATTCCATTTTATGAAGTAGTAACTGAGATCCAGGGAAGAGAAGGGTTTGGCATAAAGTAGCACAATGTTTGATACTGGAATGAGGACTTGAGCCAAGGTCTTGTAACTTCTGGAAGCCCCTGGGATTCCCCAGAGTCTTGGCTAGCAGCTGCTCAGACCCCCACAGTTGGAGAGGGACCACCACTCCCTGTTAATTTTTTAGTTTTGTAGAAATGGGTTCTCGGCCAGGCGCGGTGGCTCACGCCTGTAATCCCAGCACTTTGGGAGGCCGAGGCGGGTGGATCACAAGGTCAAGAGATCGAGACCATCCTGGTCAACATGGTGAAACCCTGTCTTTA